GGCCACCTTTGATGCCATCTCTGAGAGCTACAGCTACCTGACTTGGGATCTCTGGGTAGAGAGCATGTTTATTAAGTCTCTCTACCAGAAATTCACCAAGCATCTTGTGAAACCTGTGGAGAGTCTCCATCATATAGAGGCTCCAGGCTCCAGCTGTGCTTACTGCATAGGGGTTTTATAGGAGAAACAGAAATTGAATTACATCTTTCTCTCTTTCTTTCTTTTTTCTTTTTTCTTTCATTTTTTTGAGCAGGGTTTCTCTGTGTAACAGCCCCTAACTGTCTGGGAACCCACTCTGTAGACCAGGCTGGCCTTGAGCTCACAGAGATCCACCTGCCTCTGCTTCTGAAGTGCTGGGATTAAAGGTATGTGCCACCACTCCTGGCTAAATCTTGCTTTTTACAAAAAGATTTGCTTGGTCTGGTGGTACACACTTTTTTTTTTTTACTGAGACAGGGATTCCTTGTATAGCCCTGGATGTTCTGGAACTCACTCTGTAGACCAGGCTGACCTCAAACTCAAGCAATCCTCCTGCCTTTACCTCCTGAGTGCTAGGATTGAAGGCATGCACCACCACCACCTGACTGGTGGTGTACACTTTTAATTCCAGTACTTAGGAGGCAGAGACAGGTGGATTTCTATGATTTTAAGGCCAGCCTGGTCTACATTGTGAGGTCCAGGATAGCCAGGGCTACATAATAAAACCCAGTCATAAAACAAACAAACAAAGCAAACATTCCTGAAAAGATTTGTTTGCTTTTTAACTTTTATTTGTGTGTGTGTGTGTCTGTGTGTGTGTGCACGTGTGTGCATGTGTGTGTGTGTGTGTGTGTGCGCGCGCGCATGTGCATATGCCCAGTGCATGTGTGGTCAGAGGACAACTTTGCAGTCAATTCTTTCCTTCCACCTTTATGTAGGTTCCGAGGATGGAACTCAGGTTTCCAGGCCTGTGTGGCAAGGGCCTTTACCAGATGGCCATCTCACTGGCCCTCCTATCTATTTTTTCCTTAGCAACAAATTTAAATGGATTAAGTTGCTACATTTGTTAAATTCCTATTATGAAAGGCACTTAGAAATGACTTTGTCAGAAACCACCCACCCCCTCCAGCATCTCTGCTTTCACTCTGTATCTGTCTTTTACTTTGGGTGAGATCAGTGTCCTGCTCTGCATAGACATGTTAAGCACTCCAGGACTATCTACTGATTCATCGCATCCCCTTTATCCGAAGGCACTGAGATAATGGGAGGTTCCAAACCTGCTGTTATCTTGGGTACGGCTGAACCTTGCTGGATCATTCCCAGATGAGGGCAATCACCCATGAGGGTGAGGCTATACCCCAGACCATGAGTCATCATCTCCTGAGAATTGGCCTGTCCTCTCAGGCAATAGAGACTTCCTTAGACCATCTTGAAGAATTGGAGTTGAGATCACACTTTGACTTAAGACTATTGGGGTTGAATTCATATCATCAGGCTTGGTGGCAAGTACCTTTACCTGCTAAGCTGTTTCATTAGCTCTCCTTTTCTTTCTTTCTTTTTCTTGGTTTTTCGAGACAGGGTTTCTCTGTGGTTTTGGAGGCTGTCCAGACTGATCTCAAACTCTCAGAGATCCGCCTGCCTCTTCCTCCCGAGTGCTGGGATTAAAAGTGTGTGACACCACCGCCCGGCTTCCTTTTCCTTCTCTCCCCGCCCCCAGGTCTTTCATTCTTTCTGGTCAGGGTTTCCATTATGACTAGTTTTATGTCAACTTGACACAAGCTAGTGTCATCTGAGAGGAGGGATCCTCAACTGAGAAAATGCCTCCGTGAGATCCGGCTGCAGGAAAGCATGCAGGGCATTTTCTTAATTAGTGATTGATGGGGGAAGACCAAGCCCATGGTAGGTAGTGCCATCCCTGGGCTGGTGGTCCTGGGTTCTATAAGAAAGCAAGTTGAGCAAGTCATGAGGGACAAGTCGATATGCAGCCCCCTCCATGGCCTCTGCATCAGCTCCTGCCTCCAGGATCCTGCTCTGTTTGAGCTCCTGTCCTGACTTCCTTCAGTGATGAACAGTGATGAGGGAGGAAGTGGAAGCCAAGTAAACCCTTTCCTCCCCAGGTTGCTTTGCTCATGGTGCTTCATCATATAATAGTAGCCTTAACTAAGACAGTTTCACATATCCTGGGATAGCCTCAAGCTCTTGAGATAGCCAAAGGTAGATCTCGAGCTTCTGGTCTTGCTTCTGCTTCTGAGTGCTGGGGTTATGGATGTGTGCCACCACGGCAGTGCTGAAGGCAGGCGCAGAGATCTGTGTGTGCTACGTAAGCAAGCCTCAGCCCTGAGCTCCATTCCCGCCCGTTTTCTTGTTTTGTTCTGGAACAGGGTTTCGTTATGTAGCCGAGGCTGACCTTGAACTTGAGATCTTCTTGTCTCTGCCTCCCTAGTGTTGGGATTATAGGTTGTGTGCCCACATCTGTAATGAATGACTTTCTCTTGCCTTGTGTCTGGGGAGGCAATGTCCTGTGTATCAGAAGTTCCCATCCTGGATGCTGGCTTGGCTTCAGGTGACCACCAATGTGTTACAGAATGCTAAGTCACATAGGATGAGTGGGCTTGAACTTACTAGACAAGGCAAGTGGTTTTCTGAGGTCCAGGTCTCTAGCCTCCCTGGCCTGGGCGGGTCTTATTAGACTCTCTGAGGGTGAAGAACAAAGGAATCCCGGTAGTTCTGTTGCTGCCTCCGTCAAGGACAAGTTGGAGGCAGGTCCTGGTCTCAAGTGCACAATAACAATTGCTTTGGAAGTTTCCTCTCACAGATGTCAGCCTCCACTTCCCAGACCCGTCTCATGGAGGCTGAGTCATGGGTCAATGATGGTGGGCATGTCGTGGGGCCAGCCAAGCCTATTGATCGAGGGCTGAGACATCCTCCCCACTAATCAACAGTTAATTAAGTCTTTGGTGAGGAGGTGGTGATTAATGAAGAGTCAGCTTGTCCTGTAATTGGGATGTGGGATGGGAGGGAGCTTACAGGGAGGGGGAGGCTGGCTCCTGGTCCACACGGAGGAACCCCCCCCCCCCCCCGTTCAGCTTGCTTTCATACACCAAATACGAGCCTTCTCTTATACTCCCCTTCCTCCTCTTTGTCATCTTTCCTTGAACCTTGTATTCCCTAAGGCTGTTGTGTCTAGGCATGATGAATCCATGTTCTTCTCACAGGCTCATTTACCCCCGTCTGGCACGCACCTACAACCCCCTCACCACCATAGCTAGCACTCAGGGGCCTACGAACAAATGTCCATATTACCATATCCTTGTCCCTTGTAGCCTGTAGCGTCCTTGTCTCTCTAGACTCTGACCTCTGTGATCAGAGCTGTCCTAACCAGTGTCCAAGTTGCCCTCTCCCAGCACCGTCATTTTGTCCCCCGGCCTTTGGCTTTCCCCCACGGAGTAGACCCTTTTCACTTCTGTCTTCTCCTCTCCAAACAGGACACTGGCTGTCTCTCTGTATCTGTTTTAAGATGGTGGGGTTCCCCAAGGATGTGGCTGTGACTCTCTCCTGAGATGAGGGCTCCTGGGGGGACAAGACTGTGACTTGACCCTCGATACAGGCTCCCTAAGAACTGTTTCTGTCCTTTTTTCAAGACTGGGTGCATGTGCCTTTGGCCTAATGTCCTCTTCCACCCCCGTGCTCAGTAAGATGCCCTGGTGCTGCTTCCGTTACATGGGGCCCGCGGGACCTGGCTGGTTGATAAGGATCTGTTTCCGGAGGGTGCAGGTGACTGAACCCATAAAAAGGTGATTGAAGGAGCCCTGGATGCACCATCTCAGGTGAGTTCTAAAAATAGCTTTCACAGCCATCTGTCCTGGGAAGTGGAAGGGGCTGGCCCAGGACTGGGGGTCTGGGCAAGATGGCTCCTCCTGCTGCCCTGGAACGGAAGTGGAGGCTCTCTCTGGCAGGGCTGAGAGAAGGGACTGGAAAAGACTTTATAGAGCTCTTCCCTACAGCCCTCTCTTCTCGATGAAGCAGGTGGGTCTGATGGGGTTGCTGGTCTGGGGCTCTTCTTCGACTCAGTCACTCAGAGTAGGTTGTGGCCCGAGACAGCCTATCCCAGCCCTGCTCCCATGTGTAACTCCTGAGCTTGGAGGTGCTGAGCCTGTCCGCTATCCACGCTGAGAGAGCCGTCCCCTGGGTCTGTCTGCTCTCTGCCTCTGTGTGAGCCATGGGTGACCCCTCAGAACTTCAGCTCTCTCACCTGTAAGTTGGGGACACTCTGAATATTGTGCAGGAATTGATGCGTTATGTAGTGCAGAATAAATGCTTAATAAACCTTAGCAGTTGCCCCTTTTATGTGGATGCTCGCCGCCTTCCCTCTTTAGCCCCAGAGTATAGCAATGGCCGTAAGAGGCTTACACAGTGGCACACGCCTGGTCACCTTGGCATCACTCAGCACAGAAGACACCTATGGGATTCTGTCTTAAGATGGCACTCTATGTTAGGTGTGCAGAGCTGGTCCTGGGTCTGTCTGGCCTAGACTAGAATATACATGTAGTTGATGCAGCTGCTTCTGCAAAGGGAACTAGCTTTTGGCCTCCCCCCGTCTCTTTCAGTGGAGAAAGGACACAATGGAATGTCTGTCCAGTGAGTTCTCAGGACATCATAATCAGGTCGGGAGGCAAGGTCACATGCTCCCGCCCTTGCCTTCAGCAGCAGAAAAAGACTTCCACTACATGTCCAGTCAGTCCTGGGACGTCAAACAGAAGCACACAGGGTTGCTTCTTGGAAGGAGCTGTCACGGGGCCCCACAGGCTGAGAGAACTGTCTTCCCCCTTCTCCATCCTCTTCTATGAAAAAGCTAAGGAAGATGAGCCCCCATTCCTGATTTTGCCCAAACTCTAGATTCCCTTCCTGTGACAGCTATGGGGTGAACGCCAGATTCAGGCAAGGCACTCCTCCAGAAAGACCCCCCAAGTCCAAGGAACCGGGCTGCCCCCTCAGCTCCTGTAAGGTAGAGACAGCACGTCTCGGCTGGGTATAAAGTCAGCGATTGGCAGGGGTGGAGGGAGGGAGGAGACAAACCCTCCCCTGGTGGGTCCCCTCCCCTGGATTCCCCCCTCCCTTTGCAAGTGGGATATAAGCCCCGCAGGGAAGCTCTGAGCCGAGCACTCTAGCCTGCCTTCCGCCTCCTGCTCATCTCGCTTCAGGAGCTGTCGCTGTGAGTGATGGGGGCCCAGGAATGGTCTGGTATCGTGCTATTTTGTAGGGAAACCGAGGTCGGGTCGGTGGAAACTGGAACTGAGTAGTTGATTGCTGGATGGGCAGAGTCTAGCTGGGGAGACATGGAGAAACTGGGAGCCTGGGGCGGGGTGGGGCAGCATTGCTTTCTTCCCTTATCTACCTCTTTGGGTACCAGTGGGAGTGGAGAGGCAGGCAGGCCTTAGAGATAGTGCAGGGCAGGAGAAGACGAGGCGAGCCTGGTGACTGAGACTAACAGGTCTGAGACATGGGCCCGACGGCAGCGGCAGCCTGAGGTCGAGGCTCAGGATGGCCCACCCTCCAATGCTCTCTTCCTAGATGGTGGCGGTGCATAGGCCTTGGTCCGTCATGGTCGCAGTGCTGCTAGTCCTGCTCGCCTGCCTGGGAGCGCTGGTGGACGCCTACCCCACCAAACCCGAGGCTCCGGGTGAAGACGCCTCCCCGGAGGAGCTGAGCCGCTACTACGCTTCCCTGCGCCACTACCTCAACCTGGTCACCCGACAGCGGTGAGCGCTGGAGAGGGTGGGGCGGGAGGACCCCAGTCTCCGGGGTTGCAGCCTCCTACCAGCTCCACCTGGAGGCCTGATCACGCCCCTTTGTGGTCCCGCCCCCAGGTATGGGAAAAGAGACATTCCAGATGCTGTATTCTCCAAACTGCTGTTGACTGACGACAGCGAAAACCTCCCCATTAGGTCTCGGTAAGAAACACCCGCCCTCCACGACACGATACGCATCCCCTGGAGAGTGGCCTGGTCCCATCACTTACACCTCCTATCCAATTCATTTCTTTTCCCTCCTGCAGGCCAGAAGGTGCCTACCAATGGTGAAGACCCCAAGTCCTCCTTCGAGATGTGCTAACTGTACCGACTTCATTTGCATACTTGGTTCGAAGAGGGGACTCCATGTCTTGGTGTCCCGAGTGCCCAGGCTTGAGGGCTGTGTGTGTTCATTTCCCTGTCCCCAAATAAAAAAGCAAATTTCACACAAAATACGCCTGTGTGTTTATATTTCCATCCCTTTCGCTTTTGTGGGGGTGGCGTCAGTTCAGGTGACGGCTTGAGCCCCAGGAAACACTGGTGGCTAGGAAAGAGGATTCCGAAGGTGAGCGTGGTGGGAGAGTTCAGCATAGACACCTCCTCCCAGCCCCGGCTCCCAAAGGACCTGGGAAGGCACTCAGGGGGAAGGGGGCCTAGAGGAGTAGGTGGAGTGGATTCTGAGCAGGGGCCAAAAAAGATCAGCATTGAGGGAGGTCCAGGAGGGTGGCAGAGAGAAGGCTAGGCATCACTCTCAGGGGAGTTCCCCTGAGCAGTCTTGTGATAGACCCAGAGCCACGGAGGACAGGAGGTTAGGGTCTAGGATGGGACCCTGGAGGAAGAGAACTTCGGAGAGGTGATGTGGGGTTTACCGAGTGAGGAGGTAGATAAGTCACTTCCTCATTCCCTGAACAGGGAGAGCAACGGGACTGCGGAGGTCTCTGCTCTCTGCTCTCTGCAACAATTGGAATTCCCCATACTGTCGAATGCAGGCTTGATGTCTATCACTAACTGTTTTTCTGGTGAAAAGGCCCTGGGAATACATCCAATTCTCTCTTTCCCCATTAAAAATTGAGGTTTAAGGTGCTGTGGGTGTTTAAACTGCAGTCTAACCTGAGCCCCTAGATATCTATTGTTGCAGGAAGTCCATTAATTTGGCCCATTAATTAAGCCTTTTTGCATTCTCTGGATACCTAGCTTTCTCCCTCTCCCTCTCCCTCCCCTCTCTGGCTACTTCTCTGTCTACTATGAAATGTGTCCATTTCTCTTTCTGTTCCGTTTCCCTAGGTCCTGCGGGGTGGGGTGGGGAGCGGTGCTGGTGGAAGGGGACATGTGCTCTATACTCTGTTAAGCAGGACCTTCCCGGGGAGGTGGCCAGGGAATGAGAGGAAGGTGATCAGGATGAAGCCAAGGCTACAGATCCAGGGAAAGGGTGTCAGTCAGGAAGGTGGACGGGGGAGGCAGGCAGGACTCATTACAGCCTAGTGGCCCTGGAAGGGTCACCCTCTGCTGTAACACTTCCTGCACAGGAGAAAATGGGGGGGTCCCACATCCATCTTCTGGGGCTGCCATTCAGCTTCATAGGCCTGAAGGGAGAGGAGGAAGAGGCAACCCCAGGGCCCAACAGTCATAGCCTGCATGGATTCTCGTCTCCCTAGGGCTTGCTTGGACCTCCTTTTCTTCCTCTCCTGCCTAGAAAGTCCCTCTTGCATCACGGTTACCTCCTAGAGCCATTCCTGGTTCCTCTTGGTGGAATTAGTCCCTCTGCATCTCTCCCTCCAGTATTGCCATTACCCGAGACCCCCATCTCCTACCCCAATGTGCTCCCTGTGTCCTCCACTTCTCCACGCTTGCAATGACTAGCTACGTGTCTGGGTGCTGACGTCCGTGGTCCCTATCTGCTGTTATGCCTGGGGAAGCTGCGGTTAGTCTGAAGCAAACAGAGGAGAGACCTGGCATGAGTCATATGCAGTTTGTGTAAAGGTGGCATGTCCAGGTGACCGTTAGCGGGGTGGCTTTACTTCTGGGTCACTTCCGCTTTGAGCAGGTGTGTAATCTGGGACTGGTCAGCTTAGTCAATGGATGAGCCCGGAGGAAACTTAGATACACTAATAGTAACAAAGACAGTAACAATAATCATCTTTGCAAAAAGCTCTTCTCCTTAAAAATCATATTGATTCTTTTATTGTGTGTGATGCGTGTGTCACAACCTGTGGGGTTAAAAGGACAACTCTGGGTAGTTGGTCCTCTTCTTCAACCTTTACGTGGGTTCTGGGAGATCAGATTCAGATCATCCAGCATGTGTGGTTGGGCAGCAAGCCTCACACATCAGTTTTGTTTTGAGACAAGGTTTCTCTATGTGGTCCGGGATGTCTTAGAATTCACTGGGTAGACCAGGCTGTCCTTGAACCATCAGAGATCCACCTGCCTCTGCCTTCTGAGTGCTGGGATTAAAGGTGTGTGCACCATGCCTGGCTCAAATAGCACATCTTTATGCGTTATATTATTAGCTATATGTTTTACACTCATCATAGTATACCATGTTGATTTGGTTGTGTTTGTGTGTGTCCGTCCGTCCGTCCGTCCGTCCATCTGTCTGTCTATACCCGGTACTCATGTGCAGGTCAAAGGACGGCTTTCAGGAGTTGTTCCTTCCTTCTGAGGTGGGTTTGGGGATGGAACTCAAATCCTGCTAAACCTTCTTGTCAGTCCAAAGTGGCACCATATCAAGGTATCTTTTGTGGAAGGATCTGGAATACAGTCCTAAGTGAGGGATGGCTATACCATAACCTGCATCTTCTCAATATCAGTGATCTCATCTTAAAGAAAGTCACTAAAGGCTGCCTGGGCCTCCCTTCTCACCTCTGAGCTCTTTGTAGAACCCCTCTTCCTCATCCCCCCTGATGCCCCCAAGAGCTTATGTGCAAGTTGGGCATAATGACTCATTTGGGAGGCTGACGCAGGAGGATCACTATTTTCAAGACCAGCTTGGGTTATTTAGTGAGATGCCCTTTATAAGTGCAGAGCAGAGGGCCTGGGGAGTTAGCTTAGTTGGTAAAGTACTCACCACACAGTGTAAGGATTCCAGATCTCGGCACTCATGGAGAAGAGCAGTCACAGAGTGGTGCGGGAGTGTGATTGCAGCATACGAGCCGTGGAGACAGGTGAAGCCCTGGAGCCTGCTGGCCAGCCAGTTCAGCCCAATTGTGAGTTCCAGGCCGCAGTGAGAGACCCTGGCTCACAAAACAAGGTGGATGGTGTTTGCGGTGTATACACGCAATACACTCATGCTATACACAAACCCTCATACACACCTATACACATGCACACCCCACACACCCTACACACACCTACACATACTCATACTCCCCCAACACACACACTCACTCACACACACACACACACACACACACACACGACAAAACAAAATGAAACAAAATCATGTGGACTGCAAGTGACTCCTGCTTGCCCTGGTCATTGACAGGCAGGAGAGGGTGTGGTGGAGGACAGGACACTGGTCAACTCCTGTCCTGGAGGATGTGGGTGGGGCCTCTTCACTTGGTTTCTTCATCTACTCATTCACCCCCATGTTTCAGAGCTGACCCTCTCCTAATCTCATTATCACATTGCCCACTAGCCATCTTCCCGGTCCAGAGAACATGTGGCTGGTAAGGAGCCACTAGCGTCTTGGACAGTCTGTGTGCAGGTAAAGACATGTGCCTTCCCCGACACTCCATGCAAGCGTTGCAGGGTCCCACGAAGGCCAGCAGAAGCTATCTGTGTGTTCTAGATGTGGTCATACAATTTAGAAGGCACGGGCATTACCTCCTCCTCCTGGATTGTCACTACCTGCAAGGAATCTGTTGATGCAAAAATCTAAAGCCACGGGTTTGGTTGACTTTTGAGGAGCGACTCTGACTTCTTAGGACTAGACAAAGCTGGCTGACTTGCGTGGCAAACTGTAAATAGTTCCCACACCAGAAGCAGCCCCAGAATTCAATCATTTGATGAGGGTCCTTCACCTTGAGTAGAAGCCAGAACAGATCCCATGAGGCCCAGAGCCCAAGGTAAACTTAAGAGCCTTAAAACCTGCGCCGGAAACAGGCGCCCCCTGGTGGCATCTGCAGTCGCTGCCAGCCAGCGCTCGGGCTCGAATCAGGGACTTGCTACTGGCTTTGCGTAGTGGGAAAACTGAGCCCAGAGAAGGATCCAGGCTTGTTAAGATATGAACTCCGCTTGTCTTGTAGAACGTCAACTGTCTGTTGAGCCGTTCTTGCTCTTGTTACAATACATGGGAGCTCAGAGCAACAGGCTCCTTGATTCGCCCTGTCTGGGGGTGGGAGCAATGCTCTCTCTTTACAGAGCGTCTAATGAGTTTAGGCTTCAGCACAACACAGCGGGAAGGACGGGGCAGGAACTGAGCCTCTCTGGCCTCTAACTTCACCATACCACATTCCTGGCTGCCACCTTCTCTAGTCTCATCACTTCCTGCATTCCCAGGACCCACACTTGATGCCTCTTGCTGTTGTGACCTAAAAGCAGAACCTCAGGCAAAAGAGAGGCCCTTGCTCCCATCTCAGGCAGCACAGAGAGCCAGTGACTGCCTCTTTTCCTGAGCAGGGTAGAGGTCCTGTCTGGGGAAAAGACACTGAATATGAAGAAGACAGTGGCACGCACCAGGAGTGTCTCTCAGGGGAAGAATTGCAGGCTGACTGGGAGATGTGGGGCTGAGTGTCGGACAGGTGTTTCCACCACTGTGAGCCTCCCATCCCTTAGTCAGGAAGCAATACTCTGACAGTTCCAGTTAGAGGAGTTCAAGTTGTTGGTTAGACCTTGTTTCAAACCCTGGACCTCCCAACCATTAGCTGTGCAATCTGGGACCGGATACTCGAGGTCTCTGGGCAGAGCACAGGTTTTTTTTTTTTTTTTTAAGTCTGCCAAGTAGGGCCTGGCAGGGGTTCTGTAGGATGGAACGTTTTGGACAACTTGAAGCTTATAAGTGATGCTGGATTTTAGCACTCCCCTGGGACAGAGCTCTGGGGTGGGAAAGGAAATAGATGCCAGAAATTGCCCCTTCCCTGTGGTCTTCTGAACTCCAGCCCACCATACTTTGATTGACATCCTATACACTCATCAAATGGGTTTCTCCACTACTTTCCAAGTGGCTTGAGGACCCGAGATTCCTTCTCTGTCCCTTCCTTGTTCTAGCTGTCCACTGGAAAGGAAGGCCTGACTTCCATCCTTTCGTGCTGGGGAGGAGCCTGGAGCTGTAGCCTCAATCTGTGCCTTGAGGAAATCCTTTTGGTGGCAGGGGCTGTCCCTGGGGAGGCCATCCTGAGGCCAGCAACTAGAACCTTTGGGTTATCATGTCAGGACTCTGTCATTTATGAATCAAACCTGTTCTGGTGCCTAAAGCTGGATTCAGACCGCGCAGGAGACCCTTGTCACGACCCAGCTTCATGCATTCTGTGCTACTCTGGCAGCGAGAACTCTCTGCCCTAGTGCCTTCCTCTTTCCGGCTGCAATGCCTGTGCCCCAGGTACCAGGGAGACAGCAAAATGGGGTTGAAAGCTGGCAGTGAGAAAGGCTGACAGGGGGCGGGGACTCTGGGGGTGCTGAGGACTATAAAGGGGCGCAGCCACGTGAGGGAGACCAGTCCAGCAGGAGGTAGGTGGCTGCGCGCTCCAACACCCACTTGCTCAGGACGCAGGGTAAGTGGGCTCACCCTGCCTGCCTCCAGGGACCTCCTGGGTTGAAGCTGGTGTTAGAGGATAGGAATTGGTGCTTTGTAGGTCTGGGACTCTCAGGCGGCCTAAGGTCCTTCTTGGGTCTCTCTCTACATCCGTACAAACCCGGCAGTGGAAGGCTGGACTTGCAGTATTATACACTTCGGTTCCTTTGCTTTGCAAGTGAATTCTGCACACCCCACCCTGTTTCCCACCAGCCCTGGCCATTCAATGTCATGAGTCTTGTGTATCTCGTCCTCATACCCACTTTCTCAGCTATGCTGTTCTATGTTGCCTAGCTCAGGGTTAGCCTTTGGCTGCTGACCTGATCATTGAGGGGGTGTGTATGTGTGGTGACCTTGCTTTCAAGGGAAGGAAGGTGGTGGATGCTGGGGCTCCTTCATCTACCATTGTCCCCAGGCTTGGCTTAAAGAAATGTGTGGTGGGCAGTGGCTGGGCAGGTAGGTCCTGGGTGGTGGAGGACCTGCAGATGGGCTGTGTTCTGCCTTCACTCTGTTCCTTGTTCCTTAGATGGCCACCGCATACCGCTGCCTCTCCCTGCTTCTCCTATCCACTTGGATGGCTCTGTTGCTGCAGCCCCTGCAGGGTTCCTGGGGAGCCCCACTGGAGCCAATGTACCCAGGGGACTACGCTACACCTGAGCAGATGGCCCAATATGCAACTCAGCTCCGCAGATACATCAACACACAAACCAGGCCTAGGTAGGGGTAGGGTGTGTGTGTGTGTGTGTGCGTGCGTGTGTGTGTGTGTGTGTGTGTGTGTGTGTGTGTGTGTGTGAGAGAGAGAGAGAGAGAGAGAGAGAGAGAGAGAGAGAGAGAGAGAGAGAGAGAGAGAGAGAGAGACCTAACACTAGCCTCAGTCCCTTCCGTGTCTGCTCTGAGGAAACAGTATTTCTACTGAGTGGCTTGGGTTCTTGTGCTGTGGCAAGGCAGTGTCTAAGGGGGGAATACAAGGCAGGTGAGTTGACACCTGGGTGCCACACTCATCCTAGTTGTCTTCCTTACCAGGTATGGGAAAAGAGACGAGGTGAACACAGCTGGACTTGCTAGAATGCAGCTTCCCCCATGCACCAGCCCCCTGGTTGGTTTGATTCCTTGCTCGGCTCCCAGGAGCTAAGGGAAGGTCTGGAATGTAGGGATCTGGAGGAGGGGGAAGGAAAACAGGGTCTCAGAGAACAAGGGCTGTCCTTTCTCACTGTTCATTTCTTTCTTTACAGGGAGTTCAGCCCAATACACCTGTAGTATCCTACCTATTTCCTGTCTGTGGCTGTAGGACAGTCCCGGCCCAGCTGCTTCCTCTGCATTCTTTCAACAACCTGCTCCCTTACAAACTAAATAAAGCAAATTAAAAATCATAGCCTCTGTGGTGGTGTGTGTGTATGTGTGAGAGAGTGTCTGTGTGGTGTACATGTGGTGAGTGGTGTATGTGTGTGTGGTGTGTGTGTGTGTGTGTGTGTGTGTGTGTGTGTGCCAATAGAGGCTGAGGGGGAAAGGGGAATTAGCATGGCCATAAGTGCCTGTAGGGGTTCAACTCATCCTTTTCACAGAGGGGCAAGTTGTGGTCTGGAGAAACGTGAGACTCCCCTGACGATCTGTGATGTGGCAGTCTTGAGCTTAATCTTCCTATCTCAGCACCTCTAAACCATCCAGCTGTTCAGCCCGAGGCCAACCCTTTCCCCACATGTATCCTCAACACTGCTTCCTATAACCTGGGAAGCAGGGGAAGAATCATTTATATTAAAGTGCCCTTGGCATGCGGCAGAGGCAGCCCCTGAGGACCAGCGCTGGCCGGAAGCCAGTCAGCTTTGTAGGGTAGTCTCAGACCATTCTCTAGAAATCTGGGGATAATGGGCTGTCCTGAGAGGCAATGAACCACCAGCCTGAGAACGAATCTTAGCTCCGGCTAAGAGAAAAGCTTGTATGGGGCTGTGTCACCCCCCAAGGAGACACAGTCAGGAGTTCTGACCACCTCCATGTGTCCAACCTGTGGCATTCACATTTTGGTTCTTGGGGCAAGGAGGGAAGATGGATATACTACCTGAGGAGTCCCTGTAGACTGTTTTCCCATACCAGGCATCCTGAGTAGGTGGAGATGGTACGCTGTGGTGGTGTGTGTATGTAAAGTGAGAAAGTCTGAGCTGGACCCCCTTTCTGGGAGCTTTTGTGGATAGGGACATCATGGAGAAGGAGGACAGGAGACATTCCCAGAAGGCGCCTCCCCTCTCTGCTGCAGGCTGGCTCTGAAGGGTTGGGGGTCATAGGCTTGGTGGATGAAAGTTCACTTTCCCCGGCTCAGCATTTGGCATTGACCCATAACAGTGACTTTGTAACTGTGCTTCTATGTGTTGAGTGTGAATGACCTGGAGGCAGAACCTGCCCTAGGAGGGCCAAGGCTTGTACAGGATGCAGCTATCCTGCAAATGTCTGGCTCAGGTTGGTTCTTACATCCAAGGGGGGGTCTAGATAGGGCATAGGGAGGTTTCTGAAGGAAACAGGGTTTAAATGTGGGTGCTGAAGCCTCAAGTTCCAATACCTTCTCTGTAGCTTAGGTGATGGCCTGGAGTTTTATCTTACACGAACGAGTGTTTTGCTTGCATACATGTCTGTGCACCACCTGCATAGCTGGTGCCTTTGGAGACCAGAAGAGGGTTTCAAACCTCCTGAAACTAGAGTTTCAGAAGGCTGTAAGGCACAACGTAGGTGCTTGGAATCTCTGCACTCTCTGGAAAGCAGCCAGTGCTCTTAAACCCCGATCCATCTCTCCAGCCAGAGATGGGTTCTGTGGGGAGAGGTAAACAGCCATAGAGGCAGAGTGTAGGAGCCTGTTCCACACACACCTGGGTTTGACAGCTGGATGGCATGGGAAGGAGTGTGTGCCCCTGACCAGAACTCTCTAGTGGTCAGTGTTCAGGAGCAGGCTCTCCCAGGTTCAGGAGCGGGGAGGTCCCCTAGAGTCTACTCCCCTGTGTTTGTTTTTGTGCCATTCTCACAGGCCGGACCGGCATTCCAATCTGTCATGTTGTATGGTGAACCTTGGCAGGGAGCAGGTCTGGCTGAAGCCCCTGTTTAGACGGGACCAGTTCTTTCATCTTCTCACTCAGCGTCACAGATGCTCACTCTGGAAGCAGTGGATGGGCGTGAGGCGTGGAGGAATTACTGTCTCCCCTTCCTCACTGAAAGACAAGCCCTTCCTGCCAGTGCCCACAGAAGCCTCAGAAGCAGTATTCTTTTTACACTTTATTTATTTAGTACATTCCTTTACTGTTGTTGTGGTTTGTATGACGTGTGTGCACACACGAACCATGGTACACGTGTCCTTTCTTCATCTTATGAGATCAGGAATTGAACTCTGGCTGACAGGCTTGGCGGCAAGTGCCTTTCCCCCTGGGCCATCCGTCAGTCCCCCTCTTTCTCTTTATTGTGCGTGCTTCGTGGATAGGGAGGAACAGAGGTCCATCTCACCGTCTAAAGGGGTCCGCGGGTAGTCAGATCTCAGCCAGGCTTCTGGAGGTCAAGGTCCGGGCTGGAGAGGAACACCCAGGCCCTGGTGCACCCCTTCACGTCCCCAGGAGTTTCCCCTCTCTCTCCTACCCACCTGCCCAAGGAATACGGGTGGAGGCTTCTGCTGACTGCACCCATCTCGCCTACCTGGAGGAGGCTTATGGCTGGAGGTGGAGGGCTTCCAGGGCTTGGGGTTCGCTGGTGTTTTGCGGTGGTGGAGTTCGTCACGTTCAAGTGGGGATGTACGGTGGTGCTCGGTGGGATAGATGTGGTGGAGTTGGAGGGTTTCTTGTGGTTTTTGGATTTCTTCGAACTAGGGGACACGTCATTGCAGAGATCGTGGGGCCTAGAAGTGAGTAGGGTGCCGGGTACCCCTCTCCCCATTCCTCCGCCAGCTCACCCGCTGCCGAAGAGCTTCTCCATGTACTTGCTGATGCTGCCGAAGCTTCCAAGCCAACTGGCCATTCTGGGCTCGGGAGACTGCTGCAATTGGACCTCATCGCCCAGGACGCCATCGGGTGGCACCAGGAGTGACGCTAGACACCCCAGGGCCAGTGCGCACGCGCAGGGTAGAGCCACAGTCTGGAGGGGGCGGGACAGATAGCATGGTCAGGTGACTCTGAGAAGAGAGGTGAGGTTGGGTGGGGTGAGGTGGGGTGGGTCCTGGCTGTGCCTGCCCTGACTCTTGTGGCGCTTCACTCCGTCGCTTGGGAAAGCCCGGAGCGTGGAGAAGCTCAGGCCAGAAGTAGCTGCTTCTGGTACACACAGAGCCTCTAGGGAATCCTGGTTCCCGGGGAGAATAGGGCACGCCTGCACCGCGATATCCCCAAAACACTGAGGTAAAAAAATGGACAGGCGCCTCACTCTGACAAGGATATATGATCTAGAGACGCAGGTCAGGTCCCTGACCTCCCAGACTTCTGCTGCAAATTCCTGGTGCTCCCCACTCGAGCCTTTCCCATCTCCTTCTCCGGTCCTCAAAACCCCTAGACATGCTGTTGTCTGCCTGGATTCCTGCTTCTCCAGACGTCTGCGGGGGGCCGGGGGGCAGCTCAGCTTCAAGCAACAGCTCGATACTCTATGTGGGTCTAACCTGACACCCCTATGTGAAGTTGCCACCCACTCTCACCTTGTTGCCTCTGCCGCCGCCGCCTCTTGCTGTGGTCTGTACTACTCTGTAGTTATTCCCTGAGCCTCTTCCCAGGCCCACCTCCTCCCACCACATTGCAGGTGGGCTCTTCACCTACTTTCTCTTTGATACCATGCTGCCTGCCATCAGATACAGCCAGCACTGCCTGTCACTCAGATGCAGCACTGCCTGTCACTCAGATGCAGCAAGCACTGCCTGTCACTCAAATGCAGCACTGCCTGCCTGGTGTCTAACACATTAAATGAATAACATAGTTGCACACTAGAGGACTAGTCCATCAATGCCTCCCATCCCCACTCACACACAGAAGCACACACACACCGGGGAGGGAGAGAGAGAATGATACCCCAAATAAGACACTTGCTTTGAGCCCCTGAAATCTCCCTTAACCAGAATTCCCCTCATCTGCCCCACCTCAAGTGGGGACAGGAAGCTCTCTATGACAGCTGTCCTGGCCAGCAGAATTGCTTCACTTTTTCACCCCCCTTAGGGTGCCTGTGGAGGGACCCTTGGTGCCAGTCTCCATTCCCAAGCTCCTGGAGAGCACAGGGGACAGGGTTCCATCCCACACTTAGCCACCAGGCATTACCATAGTGCTGGGCAGTTGCAGAGCAACACAGCGGAGGGTCTTTCTGGCCAGGGCTTCAGAGGGCATTTATATTTCTGTGGGTCCATGATCCTGTCTTCAAAGGCTCCATCGGCACAGCAAGACTTCCTACTGCTCCTGTGTCATGACCCAGGAATTGGGAACAGACAGAGTGTGGGGGTGGAAACGCATAGCCTGCTGGCTGTCCCCATTAAGGCTCAGTGTCTTCCAAGGACCTATAGGGGTGGGTGGCAATGGCAGGAGGCTCCGAGGGCCAGGTACCTTTTTGTTCCAAGATTATAGGTCCCAGGACGAGCTGTCCCTGTGGTCGTGAGTGGGCAGTGCTTTTCCCAGGGGCTATTTCTGGGGTCAGCAGAGGCCAATGCTGAGAGACACCCCACTCGTCCAGCTGATCCAAGTGGAATCTTCCTACAGGGTTGTTGTGGGGGCCTTGTATGTCTGTTCTGGCATCTAGGATAGGCCAGCTGTGGGATTGCATCCCTCGATCTGCCTGTCCCAGCCATGTGGAGCCCCCCGGGAGTGACCTGATGAGTTCTATGGGGGAAAGAAATCTTGGCTTCTTAAGTGATGTGTTCATTCATTGCAGGTCAGGCCAAAGAACCTTGGTGTGAGCCTGCCATCTTCAGTCTTGCTGCTTGTCTAGACCAAATTGTGAAACATGGCCTGTGGCCACCCAACTCCTGGGAAGGGAACAGTAGGAATCCTGACCTCACTCCCTCTTGGCCGCGTGAACTTGATCAAGGGACTCTACTTTCTGGTGAGCCCCCACAGTCTCATATGTGAAATGGGACTCATTATGCTTCCAGCGTGGGACTGATGCCAGGGTTGGTCTGATCCTGAGGCTCAGTCACCGGACAGTCTTGGCACAGAGTGGGCAATGGACACGGATGAGCCCCTCTGTGTGGGTGCGTCTCTCCTGCATTTTCCACTGGTCTCATTTCGCCCTCCCATTAGTAAATCCTAGTCTCAGCGGAGGAGTGAGAACTCGGGGCTGGTGTGAGCAAAGTGAGGGCAACAGCTCAGAGCCCAGGGAGACTGGAACTGCATTGCTAGGGAGCAAAAAGCTAGAAAAAATGAATGGGATTTTAAGATAAAATTTCATAGTACAGGCTGGAGGAGCTGTTTAGGGGAGCAGATACCCAACATCCAAACAAGTTATGAATTTGTGTGTGTGTGTGTGTGTGTGTGTGTGTGTGTGTGTGTGTGTGTAAACAGGATCATGAGGATGGCCTCAAACCCACTATGTAGCCAAGGAGAAGTTTGGACTGCTCTTCCTGCCCCTGCCTCCTAAGTGCTGGGTGGGATTAAGACGCATATCACCACACTTCATTTGAAACAAACCATTACATATCTCAACTATATGCGGGCCTCGTTCTAAACCCCACCCTCAGTGAGGACCACAGAGCCTCCGTGATGTGTCCCTGTGGAAATCTAGGGCTCTTTCTCAGTCCTTCTGGCACAGTCCTGGATTCGTTTCACAACTACCCAGTCCTGACAGTGTGTGGATGCGGGTGAGGGGCTGCGTAGCTCTTATTTCTGGCTAGAGGGAAGCTTTAGGCATGGGATGGAGCTGGCCAAAGAGAGAGGCACATCTGGAGGGACAGGATGGAGCCCAGATGGCACTTTTGTGAGCCCCAGATGCCTAACACACAGGAGCAGGAACTGGAGTTTCCTCCACGGGGTTTCAGTCCTGTCTTTCTGTGGGTGTCCAGTGGGTGGACTTGCCATGTTTAATCTTCACGGGCTGCTTCTAGAACCAAGGGATTATGTCCTGCATCATTATCAATAATATCTGTATGATTGTTTTATCCAGTACCTGATAACCATTGTTGTGCTGGGTGCCAGGTCTGGTGTTCCAGTAAAATGATCTGACATGAAATCTCTAGTGCTGTTTAGGTCACACTTCTAAACCTAAACAACCCTTCCTTTATGTTGAAGGATGCAAGCTGGGGGAAATTAGATCTACCCAAGGATACAGGGGCATGAATCTGAAGCTCAGGGCAGACTCCGATCAGAAGTAATCTAGTCTCTTGGAAGTGCTCCCCCCATTAGTCACATGCCTGTGTGTCCCTTACCTGGCAGCTGCCCATGCTCACAGGCTTGTGCCTTGCTTGAGCAGCCTTTTAACCCTTGCTCTTTCCTATGCCTCCTCTATCATGTCTGTTTCTCAGGAACTTAACTCTGGTAGATGAGATAGGAGAGGCTTTGGTTCCAGGACAGACCTGGGTATCAAGCTTGGCATGGCCTCTTGCATTCCATGGACAAGTTACTCAGAGTCTCTGCGTGCGATGACCTCTGCCGTGGGAGAGTTCTGGGGCTGGGTGAGGGAAGGAGGAGAAGCCTCAGAGGGGTTTTGGCCCCAAGCTGAAGTGTCTCCCTTATAAGTTGCCTCAGGTACCATCAAAGAGCCTTTTTTTTTTTTTTTTTTTTTGCCTGTGGTGGTTTGAGCTGGCTAGACTGTCTGGCCAGTGAGCCCTAGGGATTCTCCTGTCTCTGCCTCCCAGAACCAGAATTACAAGCATGTGCCACCATGCCTAGCTTTCACATGGGTGCTTGGGGTGGGACTCGGGTCCTCTTATTTGTACAGAAAGAACTTTACTGACCCAGCTATGCCTCCAGCTCCAATTGTTCCATCAAAAAAGTTTTGATTTTTTTGGTGAGACAGGGTTCCTCTGTGTAACAGTCCTGGCTGTCAGAACGAGCTCTGTAGACCAGGCTGGTCTCAAAAAGTTTTGATTTTTAAAAGTGTGTGTGTGTGTGTGTGTGTAGTTATTTGTACATGAATGCATTTGCTAGATGAGACCAGAAGATGGTGTCAGATCCCCTGGAGCTGGAGTTAAATGCAATTGTGAGCCGCTGTACATGGTTGCTGGGAACTGAACCTGGGTCTTCTGTAAAAACGTTACAGTGCTCTTAACTATCGAGCCATCTCTTCATCTCACCCACCCTCCTTTTTTTGAGACAAGATCTCTCTGTATACACCTGTCTATCCTGGAACTCACTATGTAGACCAGGTTGGCCTTGAACTCAGAGATCTGTTGTGGAATATTAGTTTAAGGTGTGTTACCTTTGCTTATGCTGTAGAATATTTGTTTAATGATGCAGCATTTGTTTAACTCCATAAAGCTGTGTTACTGTGCCTACCTAAAACACCTGATTGGCCTAATAAAGAGCCGAATGGCCAATAGCTAGGCAGGAGAGAGAAATCGGTGGAGCTGGCATGCAGGGACAAGAAATAGGAGAAGAAATCTAGAAATCTAAAGAAGATCAAGGAGAAAAGGAGAAAGAGAACAGGACATTGGGGCCAGTCACACAGCCACACAGTCACACAGCCACACAGTCACACAGTCAGTCACACAGTCACACAGTCACACAGTCACACAGTCACAGCCACAGAGTAAGAAGGAAAGTAAGATATATAGAATAAAGAAAGGTAAAAAAGTCCAGAGGCAAAATGTAGCTAAAGAAAAATAGGGTAACTGAAGTTAGAAAAGCTGACTAAAACAGGCATTCATAAGTAAGAATAAGTCTCGCCGGGCAGTGGTGGCACACGCCTTTAATCCCAGCACTCGGGAGGCAGTTAAATCTCTGTGAGTTCCAGGACAGCTTGGTCTACAAGAGTGCGTTCCAGGACAGCCTCCAAAGCCACAGAGAAACCCTGTCTTGAAAAATGAAACAATAACAACAACAACAACAACAAAAAAACAACTAAGTCTCCAAGTGTTTATTTGGAAGCTGGGTGGTGGGCCCTCAAAGAGTAAAAATAAACAAACAAAAAATCAACTACAGAGGTCCCCCTGCCTCTCAGCCTCCAGAGTGCTGGCATTACAGGCACGTGCTACCACACCTGGCTTTTGTCCTTCCCCTCCCCCCTCCTTTCTCATTATTCCTGTTTTGTTTTGAGACAAAAATCTCACTATTTAGCCCAGTAGCCTGGTCTGGCCTTGAACTTGCTTCGACCCTTCTGTCTCCCTCAGGCTTGTGAGCGCTGGGAGCAGTGTGAGCAGCCTGACAGGTCCTTCCCTCTTGCTCTCTCCACTCCCCATGCAAGACTGAGCTGTGTGGGCTGTGTGCACACTAGGTGCTGTAGGCTGAGCTACATCCTCTACCCTAGGCGTGCCCTTAGGTTTTCTACGTTCAGGTGCTTTGGCTTCTGGGCTAGATCCACTTCTCAATATCGGACTAAACCTCTAATCCACATTTCTTTGGGAGGCACACATCTAAAGCCCAGTTCCCAGAACCTGTAAGATGTTTGTGTAGACCTGTCCTCAGACCTTCTGCACCCTGTGTTTACTGAGCACCGGCTGATGGAAGGCACTGCTCTGAGTGCCGGAGTCACAGCTCTGAGAGACTGTCACTGTCCTCAAAGAATGCCACAGTCTAATGGGAATAGCTATTTAAGGAATGGAATAATTAATGTTTCAAGAAATACTTGCTAAGAGGCTACCTCTTGTCTGTGGAAAAAGGTTTTTTTAATTTTAGTTTTTTTTTTTAATGAGTAGAAGTTCTGATTTCCCACCCTCCCCTATTATAGATGATTCATGGACCAAATTTCCTGTGATGGGGGATGTCAGTGGTCTCTGCAAACCAGAAAGTCCTGGCCTTTGGACATCCCTGCCAGCTGCTATCAAGCATTGCTGAACAGTCAGACGTGGTGTTGCATGTCTGTAATCTCAGCACTGGAGAGGCTGAAAGGCCAGAGGATTGTGAGTTCAGGGCCAGCCCAGGAAAGTTAGTGAGGCAGGATCTCCATAAAAGAAAGGAAGAACTGCTAAGCTCTTTCTGGTCCAGTGTCTGACGCTGAATTAATAAGGGACTGGGACGGATTAGGAAAAGTACCTCCACCGAGCCTGGGTAAGTGTAGGGTTAGATTAAACTGTGGTGAGAAGCCCCTAAGCATCTGCGAGAAAGCGCACAAATCGTTCCCAGGAGCTTATTTCTTTAAGCTGGGGGCACTGAAGGGAGAAGAGGGAGAAGTGGGCGGCACAGATAGGGATGGACAAGGTCCCTCTGGAAGGTGTGTGGGTGGTGGGAAGGTCATGCTCTTCAGACCACAGGCTTTGGAAAGTCCTTGGGCGGGCCCCGCCTGTTCTGGAAACACCTGGGGTTAGTCAGGGCACATTGGATGGCCTGAGAAAGAGATGAGCTACCCACTTGTCCCCTGGCACCTAGCTAGAGAATTGCAAACTTCTAGAAGGGACCCGCATTTAAGGAATGGTTTCCGTGTGTCTGACACAGTGGCAGCTACGCTGCAGCTGTCCTCCGGCCAGGTGGAAGCTTGTATCCCCATTGTACAGATGGAGCAACTGAGGCTCAGCAAGGTTATGTAACTGGCTAAGCACGCATACACATGTGGCTGGGCTAAGATTTCAACAGAACAGTTGTTGCAGCTTCCCGCCCTGATAAGGGAAAGCGGAATCAGGAGACAAGAGAAGTGTGGGTACCGGTACTGGGATAGCGTGAGACAAGACTGCTTCACAGAGAGGCCTAGGACCCTCTTTCGGGCGAGCAGTCTGAGTACAGGGCAGGGTTATGTGTGATGATCTTGGATGGTGGAGCAGGTGGGACAAAGCTACCTGTCAGGATGTTGCATTGAGGCTGAGACTGGGGAGGGGGCATATTATTTCCTAAGGAAATATATTACCTTGCACCCGGGAGTATACCAGGTAATTCCTTGCAGTATGGGGAAAACACAGAATTTTTACAGTTTCAAAATAATGTTTTAAGTTTTCGTGTATATGTGAATTGCTTCTAATATACACAGTAGTCAGTTCAGTAGCTCAGCTATAATAATTCATAAAAAAATGGCCTGGGGGGCTGGAGAGATGGCTCAGAGGTTAAGAGCACTGACTGCTCTTCCAGAGGTCCTGAGTTCAATTCCCAACAACCACATGGTGGCTCACAACCATCTGTCATAAAATCTGGTGCCCTCTTCTGGCCTGCAGGCATACATGCAGACAGAATGCTGTATACATAATAAATAAATAAATAAAGCTTAAAAAAAGAAAATGGCCCATCTATTTTTATTTTTAAAGATGTCTTTATTTTATATATATGGATGTTCTTGTCTGTATGTACATCTCCACACCAGAAGAGAACATCAGATCCTATAGGACTACAGTTATAGATGGTGGTGAACTGCCATGTGTGTCCTGGGAATTGAACTCAGGACCTCTGGAAGAGCATCCAGTGTCCTTAACCGTTGAACCATCTCTCCAATCCTCCCTATCCTTTTTTACACCGATGTCTCCAAACTTCTCATTACTGAGTGGTATAGCAAATAGAAAGGGTTTCCAGAACAAATAAGCTTTGGGGCATTGTAGGTAGGTGTGTCAGTGTCCCTGTGTGTCCTGAGTGCTGGCGACTCCTGCTGGCTGTCACAAGAAGTGTAGCACCAGTCCAAGGATGAGTTTCCGGAAATTTACATCTGCTTAGTTTTTTTTTTTTCTTCTTCCTCTTTCATTGTGCCTTGATTCTCAAAGTGGTGGCCTGAGCACCCAGCACAGGAAAAAAGGCATTTGAAAGGAAGCAATGCCTGCACCCTGTGACCTCTGAGAGAGACAGAAATAATGCAGACCTGGAATCAGCAGGAAGCATTCTTTCCAGGGGCATTGTAGCCCTGAAACTGCAACAAGAAGCTTGGTAGACTCCAGAGACCTTCTTTTAAGCTGGTCCTGCATGGCTTTGGGCTGAGCTTAGAACAATATACCTAAGGGCACATTCAGTTAATGACATTTAACTACACCACTAGAATACTTTCTTCATCCCCGTGACACATCTCTCCCCAGCCTCCACCACTGGACATTAGGTTCCTCATCTATTTCAGTACCACAGAAACTGGTACCTTGTCTTGAACAAACAGGAGCATTCTAGTCTTCGTTGATAAATGTTTCCATCCACTCCAATCTCACGAGCCTTGTGTACAAAACTATCAACCATATATAAGGTATGTATGTGGGGGACTGCAAGAACTATGAGTCGGACTCCACCACGTGGATTCGAACTCAAAGTCCACCATGTCCTTGGGATCCTAGGTGGAATAGGTTTGCTGTGCATTGCTACAGGGTAATAGTGGCTTGTTTGAGAAATAATTAATAGTTTTGGGAGGAATCAAAATCTCTCTCTCCCCTTCCCAACTAAATGCAAACAGTTAAGTGATTCCCTGAGCAGAGGTATGTAGCAGGTTTTTTCTTTTGGGTCAACAACCGGCTCCCAAATCATGACATGGAGGCTTATTGTTAGTTTTGAGTGCTCCACCTTAGCTTAGCTCTTTTTTTTTTTTTTTCCGAGTCAGGGTTTCTCTGTGGCTTTGGAGGCTGTCCTGGAACTCGCTTGGTAGTCCAGGCTGGTCTCGAACTCACAGAGATCCGCATGCCTCTGCCTCCCGAGTGCTGGGATTAAAGGCGTGCACCATCAACGCCCGGCCCTCAGTTTAGCTCTTATTTGAATGCTTCTCTTTATTTATGTTCTGCCTCAGGGCTTTTTACTCTCCCTCTCCTTGCCCCTCCCTTCCTCCTGCTGTCTCCAGGGCTAGCTGGCAACTGCCTGGCTTCCAGCCCCAGGCAAGTCCTTTTCTTTCTCCCTTGTTCTCTTCTCCTTCTCTCTGTTTTGCCTAGAGTTCTCTTTCTACTTATTCTCTCTGCTGCCAACCCCACCTATCCCTCTCCTGTCTGGCTATTGGCCATTTAGCTTTTTATTAGCCCAATCAGTTACCTTAGGCAGGCAAGGTAAAACATGCAACACATCTTAACATAATTAAACAAATGCAGCACAAACAAATGTAACACGTTTACATTATTAACAAAGGCAGCAGATACAATGTAACACACCTTCACACAAAGTAACATTTCTGCAGCATGAACAATTGTAACACATCTTTGCCTAGTTAAAATAATACTACCCAATAGAGATGAATGGGTGAGAGCTGATGTAGTCTTGGCAATGGGAGGGGACCTCTTGTCCTAGGTTCAATTGGGAAGACCTTCTAGTCTAATGGCAGGGGTTTGAAAGTTGCTCTAGGAAGCATTTTTCCTCAGACAGAAGCCTGTAGTTCCAATCACTACCTTTTGGGGTCGCTACAAAACTTTCTTCTCCTCCCTTAGTCCCCTACTTAACGTACCTTTTAGCGTTTTGACCCATTTCCGGCTTTTCCTTATATCTATTACCAACTTTATCTCTTGTGAATAGAGTCTGCTCAGACCATATCTAGGGATGGATTCTCAAGTTAGTTCATTTTCGAGATTTCCAAGCAAGTTTCCAGGATGCAATCCACTTCTGATTTTAGGAGTCCAGTTAGCAAGGAAGAGAAATGCCTAGCTCCCACCGTTCCCATATTCCAGAGGATAGTGGAGGGAGTAGGGGACTCCCAGCTCAGCGAAGTACCCGGGTTGCACAGACTGAATGAATGCTATTTTCTACACTGCAGCAACCAATAGTCTGAGGCTGTGCAGTATCTTTTACTAGCAGGTCTGGGTGGAGCCAGCGGCTAAGAAAGGCGGGCTAGTGGGCTTAACCCTTTGATTTCTTTTCTTTTCTTTTTCTTTCTTTCTTTCTTGCTTTTTTTTTTTTTTTTTTTTTTGGTGCTGGGCCTCCTGCACGCTCTACCCACTGCCACAACTTGTTGAAATGGGACTCAGGAAAGAGGGAGTGTTACTTCTGTTCTTAGGCATGGACCAACTCCCTGAGTCCAGGCCTGAATTAGGGTCTTGGTCCCCTTCATGAAGACACAGCCCCCCTTAAAATTTTTTTTCTCCAAATTTTCTTAGAAGCCCAGGCTGCAGGTATTTGCCATCTGAATGTCTAATGTCTCACTCCAGGATGAACCCCGACGGAACTTACTGTCCTAATGTCCCATTCCTTTTCCAAACTGAATCAGGAAAGCGTGCGTGGGAGCGGAAGGCTGGACGAAGTGTATGTGTGTGTGCGTGTGTGCGTGTGTGCATGTGTGTGTGTGAGTGTGTGTGCGCGCGCGCCCGCGTTGATTCCATCAGGCTCAGTTTTTCCACCATCGCCCTTTTAAAGAATAATTCCTGGGCGCCTAGTGACACACGTTGGTGCTTCTCCGAGGTGGGGGTTAGTGGTCTTTGAGGTGTCTGCTAACCACTACCTCCCCGCCCACCCGCCTGCTGCTGCTGCAAGATTACTTTACAGTGGTCGGGAGGTTGCAGTGTCCCTTCCGCGTCCCAACCCACTCCTTTCTGTCTCCGCCCCTTCGTGCCTAGGCGGCCTCGCCGCTTTAAGAGCGAGGCTAGCGATTGACAAGCAATAACCGTGGAGAGCCCGACTGCGCGGAGTCGCCAGGAGCTAGGGGCTCCCCAAGACGCAGGTAGGTATCCCCAGGCCTCCGGGCCAGCACCCACCTCAGGACCCCTGCCTCGTTTTCGACCTGGCATGGCACTTGAGGACCCAATTCTCCAGGTCCAAACTCCCGTGCCCCTTCTCCAGCCGCAGCCCCTGGTGCTCTCTCTTTCTCTGGGATGTGGGTGAGGAGAACTGAACCCCTCATTCCAGGGATGCTGGTCTCCATCCCAGTAGTGTGGGCTCCAGAGGGACACTGGGCGCCAGGATGCTGAGCTGAGCGGAGCCCGGGTGTTCGCGCGGCCTCTGGGGGTCTATACAGGGTTGGTGAGTGGCGGGGGGGAGACTTCGGATCCCGGCATTACGTAAGAGCCGCGCTGTTGGCGCTTCCGGCCGTGGGGGAGCTAGACTGAGACTATGCTGGGTCCCTTGGCACCCTACACCCCAAGAAGTCAACCTTCCTTGGGAGGGGGTCCTGGAAGAGCCTCCCTGTTAACGCTGCAAGGGGCTGGAGGTTGCCGAGTCTCAGGGGCCAGGGTTTAAGGACTGGGGACTCCAGAGGGGATCAGAGCCAGAAGCGAGGAGCCAGGGTCAGAAAGTTAGGTCAACTAAGGGGATGGTGGGGAAATGAAGACTGGGGCAGGGGGTGGGGGGTGGGCAGTCATTCAGTGACCTCATCCCCTGGTCTCTGCAGGCGCACAAGCAAAGAGCCTTCTTTGATGGTTCGCAACACGCCCCCTCCTTCCCGGGTCCTAGCGCCCAGCGGCTTAGGACTGAAATGGAGGGGCGGGGGCGGTCTGATTGTGAGTGCGGGCACGTCCGCCTGCTCCCTAGACCCCATCCTCCGGCCCTTAGTTATGTTCAGCCTTCCCCATAACCCTATCGGGCTCCAAAGTGCCTTTGTCAGGCTGTCCTCTTTCGCACCTCTCTGTGTCTGCACTGATAGAGGGGTGGGTGGGAGGCTGGAGGAAACCTCCCCCCTTTGAAGCTGGCGGGCTTCACCTACAGACAGACACCTTGGGGGTGGGGAAAGATGGATAGGCTGGTGGCGGGCGGGCGTGTGGAGGTGGCAGTGGGAGGATTCCTGGGCTTATGGAACTGAAGTGCTGATTCCGTGATGACTGGACCCAGGGACCGTGGCATGGAACCAGGCTAGCTCGCCTGGCACTGCCGTTCTCCTGTGGGCACAGCTGGCCCCGCCCTGTCACAGGCTTGGGTGGGGGTGGGGCAGAGCGAGCCGACACCGTGGGAACCAACTCCTCAGGGAGCAAACCCAGGCTCTCTGGGCTGTTCTCCCGCCTGCTTCTTCCCTGCCTCCCTCCTCCGGAAAAAGAGTTACCCCATAGCAAGCAGCTCTACTAGGAAGCATGAGAAGGTGCCCCTCTGCTCTCTAGGAAAGAACAGGGGAGTTGGCACAAGGGATACTGGTTGGCATAGTGGAGTCTGGACATTTCTCCCAGCCAGCGGTGCTAGTGTGGGAGGGGTTCCCCTCCTCTCTCTCTGCAAGTTCGGTCCTTCTGGAGAAGATCCAGGAGGAGAGGGAACCATTTCCCTCACCTTTGTGGTTTCTGCCTCCAGAGCTGAAGTCATTAGCTTAGGCCTGAGAGAGGGAGCAGAGAGGCTTTTAGTAAAGTCAGTAATTGCTCCTTGTTTTGGAGTCTTGAGGGGAGGTGGAGTAGTCCTGTGCTCCCCCTCGTCGGGTGCAAAAGACTTTAGTGGGCACTGCCAGCTGCTTCCCCCTACTCCCCCACCCTTGCTGTGAGCCACTGCCTCCTGTTGTCATGGCAACTAGGGAATTAGGGTTTTATCCAGTAACACATGTCCAGGAAGGCAAGGGGAGGAAGAGTGATGGGTCACCCGGTTCTCCTTTCCAGGGAGGATGAAGGAGACAGTCTTGACTTGGGGAGACTCTGGGATGGGCAGTGGGGCTGCAGACTTCATGCCTGTTTATGGCTGCAGATCCTCCCCCTGGACTAGGCAGGTAAGAGGGGGAGAGAGAGAGAGAAGTCAGATGGGAAAGGAAATGTAATTTCTGTCAACTGGACACCCAAAGGTTCTCGGCCTGGGGCCTAGGGTGAGTAATGGAGTCAATTCTTGTTCGAGTGGAGCCTACCAGCTGGGGACACTTCCCACTTTTTTTTTAGAACTCACACTTAATCTCCTTCCAGAACCAGAAAGACATATTTTGTTTTGTTTGTTTGTTTTTGAGATGAGGTTTCTCAGGCTGGCTCAAACTCCTGGGCTAAGGGGCCCCTTCTGCCTTGGCCTGAGTGGTACTACAGCACAGGTGGACATTACCATGTCCAGTGAGAAATACCATTTTTCTTAAGAGTCACAAATCCTAGGTTTTCACTGTAGCTCTCCTACCGGCTTTGGGACCTTGGGAAAAACTGATTAACCTCTTTGGTCCTTCCTGTCTCTCCGGCCTCTGAGAAAAGGCATGCCACCTGCTCTTCTTGCGCTCCAAGGCACTTGGGGTCACCCTTGTAATCCAATGCTCTCCCATGTGGCTGTTCCTGGAGAGGATGCCCTTCCCCGTGTCTGCTGTCCCTGGCTTTGCCCTGTACCTTCTCATCCTCCTCTCTCCCGCTCTAGGAGACTGATTCCGAGTCCTCACTGACCTCACCATGCCAGTTGCGGCCACGAACTCCGAATCTGGTAAGAAGAGGGTAAAGCGGTCAGCCTACCTCAGTGGTTCCTGAGGGGACTAGACAAGGATAAGGGGGTGGGTGCAGCAGCGGTAGTAGCTGGGCACTTTCACGCTCCTCCCCCATCACCCCAGCTCTCAGGCCGCCTTTTCCCTGAGATAAGATAGAGCAGAGTAAGACCCAAGTTTGCTCCAGGTAGCACCAGGGTGCCTGCTCCAGAGACGGTGCACACTGCAGCTGGACAGGAATGGCAGAGAAGTGCCCCGGGGTTGTGGACCGGCAACCTGGGATTTGGTGGATAAGGACAGGCTAGAGGGACTGAGACGTCCACAGTACATTTTGCCTGTCCAGAGGCTGGGGGTGGGTAGGACGGCTATGGTAGGTGTAAACAGAGAGACAAAATTCCCGGGGAGGGATCGATGCTTGCACGAAGTTCTGTAGGTGTTCAGCCTCAGAGTACACAGGCTGCAAAAGCCCAGCAGCCACCTGGGAACCGCCCAGCCTGAACTTCTGAAAGAGCTGATGTGACATTCGAAGAGAGGGGAGAACTCATTGCTGTGAGGAGTTTTCACAATTCTGCTGCTGCTGCTGCAGTGGTGGCTGGTGCCGCCGCTGCTCTACTGTCAGGGCATCCATTGACCTGCAGGTCAGTCATCTCCCTTTGAGGACTTCTTTCCTCCGAGATAAGGTGGCAGGATGGAGTTGGCATTTTCAATTTTGCTCCTAGATGACAGCAGTGGGCCCCCACCCACCTGTATCCATGCCCCAGAGTCCCCACTCCACCTCAATGGTTCCTGGACCCTTGAGTGGTCTCTGAGACCCACCAAAATTAGGTTCCTTGTCTAGAAGCTCCGAAAGGGCTCTGTCTCCAGCTGTGAGATGCCCCGGACAGTCTGAATTGGATCCTGCTGCTCTTTCTGCAAGACATCCCAGGTCCCCACTTTGGACAGAAGGAATCCTTGTCCCTACCCTCTAAGAAAATGAACATTGCTGTGTGCCAGCCAGAATCTAAGCTGTGACCCCTTTGCCCCTCCCCACCCCCAAGGAAAGGCTCTTTCTCCATGCCATGGAATGTCCCGGGGCTTCTTGGAGGGCTCAGGTTTTCTTCATGCTTCAGGGCCGCCCCCCCCCCCGTTAGCCTGCTCTAAAGCTGCTTAGGAGTGATTGAGACGGAGCCTGTGATTAAAGGCTTCTCATCTGGGGTTGCCAAGTAAACCTATTAACAGTGACCTGCAGGGCTGTACAGGGAGAAGGTTCCCAGCTGCAGACCACGTGGTGGGGGCACACAGGGTGGGAGCCCATGCCTATGGGTGTGGTCTGAGTTTTCAAACACCTCCTGGTGCCCTGTTCCCCTAGTGCTGTGGACTGTTCCTTGCCTCTATATCCAAAGGAGGAAATACCATGTGCTCCCTTCCCCTAGCCAGTCCTCTGTTGACATATCAGCCCCCAAATCTAAGGGTGTGCCCTGCCCCTTATCATTTGGTGGCCATTGCACTTGCCATGCGTCTGACAGAGACCCAGCTGTACCCCTCAGCTGAGGTCAGGCTCCCCTCCCTCTTCCCCCTGTTTCCATAGGGGCATTCCTGCTTTGGGTTCTGCTAAGGTGAAACTAGCAAGTTCCTCCCTTCCCCATGGATCAAAATGACCCTTCTTACTATGGGGGACCCCCTCTTGCTTTAGTTAAGGACAGTTTGGGAGCTATGTGAGCGGTGTCACACACAGGATGGGAATTTAGACATCTTGTGCTCACTGACGGCCCCAATGTTTCTCCTTTCTTCACTGGGCTCGCTCCTCTCTTTAAAACAGGGTGAGGACGTGGGCCTGTGTTCAGATGGAGCTGTCCCTTTAAATATCTCGGCCATCTTCGGGTTAACCTTCCTGGTGTATAATCCTGCCTGCTGCCATAGCAACCAGGGGTGCAAGGGGACCAGGTGCCATTCTTCTGGGAATGTCTGACTGGAGGTGGCAGCAACAGCAGCAGCAGTGCCTTAGTAGTGGCCTCATGGGTGCACATGGGCACACATGGGGTACAGGGCCTTGGTAACTACCCTTTTGCTGCATCGATGGGCTCCCCCCCCCCAGTTCTAAAGCGCCTGGCTTGCTCCCAGGCATCACCCCTCACCTGATGGACAGTAATGGCAAAGGGAGACGCTACTATTGAGACGGAGTGAAGAGCTGGTCCCTTTACGGCTCCGTGGGTACCACCATTCTGTCTCCCCCACCCACTGCCCACACTGCTTCAGTGGATGACATTTGAGGCTAACATAGTTGCCTCTGGTTAAAATGGTGTTACTACCTTCCTGCACCTGCCGGGGAGAGGACCTAGAGCTGTTCTTGAGGGCTTTCTTCGGTCGAGAGGGTTATTGTAAAGAAGCTAGTCTGCAGTGAGGGAGAGGGCAGAGGTCAGAGTGCGGTGCAGGAGAGGGTGGGAGTCAGCATGGGGTGAGGTAGGGGAGGGACATCCATCGGAGGTGCAAAAGGAAGATGGCAGTCCAGCTCTGCCGGCCACCTGGGGTTTCTGCACTGGCCGAGAGGGAGGCCCCAGTCCCGAGGGACTTACCTCAGTCTTGCAAGCCCGATTTCATTGCCACCTCCCTACCTGTACCGGTGACAGTTAGTGTGACAGGGACCAGGCCAGTTTAGGATGACTCTCTCCTGGCACCTCCTCCCTCCTACCCATTACCGCCCCCTCCTCACCAGCCGGCCGGCTTTGACCAATCAAATAGGCGGTCCAGGAGGCGAAGCCTTGCTATTGGCTGATCCTGCAGCACTCCGCGAGTCCCGCCTTCTTTAGCTCAGCCCGCGTTTGGCTGGGCAGGCACCGATCTCCGGGGAGACTGTTCCAGGATTGCCAAGGGGTCGCCATGGCCTGCAGCCCAGGCAGTGGGGCGTCCTTGGAGGGGTTTTCCCTGGGATCCTCTGAAGAGGCAGAGCTCTGTCGGGAAGGTAGGCAGAGGTAGGGTGGAGAGGCCAGGGGAGGGGTACTTACCCTTTAACTGACCCTCCGATAGTGGGCTCTGGTGCACCTGGGTAGCGGCGCCCTTACGGGCGATCTGGACGCCCACCAGCCAGAAGAGCTGATCTGGCACAGAGCATCATCCCCTCCGCCCCCGGTTCAGTCCCCCAACCCCAGCTGGTTGTCTGGGGAATCAGTGAGCAGGACTGTGGACATTTGGCAGAATGGGAAGGGCTTTGACTTGGCTTCTTTGAAAGCCCAAGTAGGACCTTGTAAGTCTCTCGTCCTTGAGCCGTCCAGGCCTGGAAAGGAAGGGTCTGGAGGCAGGCTCGGCTGTTGTTTATGGAGAAAATGGGGAAAGAAATGGGGGCTCAGAGCCCTAAGCCATCGTCTCCAAGCTCCGGTTTTAGGGCCCCCTGTTGCCCACCCTCACTCTTTGGAGGAGGGGAGCTCTGACAAGAGGGTTGAGAGATGCCAGGGAGCCTGTTTCCCCACTCCGCCCTCCTCCAGGGTTTGGATGCTGTTATGCAGATGTAGGCGTGGGTGGCAGATTAATGATACCCCCTGCCCATCTTTGCTCCCAGCTGGGCACAATGCTTTTTTCCTTCCTTCCACCCCCTGGAGTTCCCTCCCACCTTCACCGGGGAGTGAAGACAGCCCCGCGTCTCAGAGGCCATTTTCAGGTGAACTGATGTCCTTGGTTTCAACTTATCCCAGGCTGAGAGTACTCATTCCCGTGGTGATGTGGTTTTTGACCTCTGCCCTTGGTACCCACAGCCATCCCTGAGTGCTTGTTTCTCCTGATAGTATTCCAGGCTCCAGTTTTGACTTTTCCTCATGGGTTAATTTCTAAAGAATGACGTTTGTCAGACCTAGGGACAGTGACTTGTGCAGCATCACACTAAGCTAGTGTATGTAGCTGGGACTGGTGGACATTGGTTCTGGCTTCCTGCATTGCTGACTGCTTGACTCTGCTTGGACTCAGGGACCTGCTCTAAGTGCTGTCTTACCCCTGAGCCTGCCAGCAACAGGTGGCTGCATCTTCATGCTTCCGCCCAGCTAGGGGTTGAGTGGGAAGTCTGGCTCTTTGTTGCTGGGCAGAATCTGGCAAGGGACACCTGCCCCTGCTCTCTGGTCTGGTTCCCGATGCTGGTAGCCTCCTACCTTCCCAGGCTGGCATTGCCTAGGGTGGGAAAAAGGTCAAGAAAACTGCTACCTGCCCCTAGGATCGCTGCCTGAGACATACAAGGGCCTGGCATCTGTGGAAGGAGAATAGAAAGTGCTGTTGAGTGACTTCTGTTGGGCTGGAGATGGGAGGGTTTGTGCTGGAAGTTGGTCTTCTGTGCCCAACTGATACAAAGGGTCTCACTGTCCCTCCCCCAGCCATGCAGCAGGTCTTGGACAACCTGGGATCCCTTCCCAGTGCCACCGGGGCTGCAGAACTGGACCTGATCTTCCTTCGAGGCATTATGGAAAGTCCCATAGTCAGATCCCTGGCCAAGGTATGGTATATCGGGGAGGTGGATGGTGTAACCAGGAGCCTCAGAGGACCCTGGGAATGGGGTATGTGGCAGAAGGAGCCACCTGAAAGGGTGTGGAAGGATGTCATGCCTGGGTGATGAATCTGAAGGAGCAGGTAGAGGAGATTCTGTGGCTCCTGGCTGCACCTGGCTGCCCCTGGCTGGTGAGAGGTGGCAGGGGACATCCGGCCCCTGTGTGTTGGATTCTCCAGACTGGTTCTGCCCACTTCTCCGCCTTTGGGTATTTGTGCATGTGTGTCAGGTGGGAGACAAACTCAGTAAAAGAAAATTATGAGAATCGTGTAATGGCTGGGTGGTGGCGGGGCACGCCTTTAATCCTAGTACTCAGGAGGCAGAGACAGACAGACCTCTGTGAGTTCGAGGTCAGCCTGGTGTACAAAGCTACACAGAGAAATCCTGTCTCAAAAAAAAAAAGAATTTTGTACTGGCACACATCTTGGGGGAGCATAGAGGACAGGTGCCTACCTGAGCCTCTGGGGCAGTGGAGGCCTCTTGGAGGATGCAGAGAGGGGCGGGCGTCTCAGGCCACAAGAGAGCTTGGGCTGAACCATGGAAGTGAGAGGTAGTTGGAAGTGTGAAGCTGGGGCCTCAGGTGCCAGACAAGCAGAGTGAGCTGTGAAGATGGTGGCAGGCTGTGAAGGGCACTGGGGATCATGCCTGGGGGCTCAGATATTGCCCCCCAAGTATCAATCAAGCTTTGCACATTTTAGACAAGACATTGGCATTTAGGAAGTCCCCTCAAGCCCCCCAAGCCATGTGGAGGATCGAATGAAGGGTTTCAGAGACCAGTTAAAGACCACGTGGTAGAGCAAGAGGAGCCTGGTGCTAAGGCATGGGGAGGGACTTAGTGGGGTACCCAAGTGGAGGAGGCTGGTGTTGACTTTTGCAGTACAGTGGAAGGGAGGTGCTCCTGGGCTGGGCTAGAGGCAAGGCTGGACATGCTGGGAAGTCAGCCTGATCGCTAGGGAATCTAGTAAAGGCAGGCATTCCTCTCCTGGAATCCAAGGGTCAAGGCAAAGTTTGGCCAATCACTGAAGAGGAGAGAATCTAGTGAACAGGGACCCAGACAGCCCCTGGCAGGCGCTGATTTCCCAGGGTGGGATGACTCAATCCCTCAGCAAGAGGAAGAAGAAGGTGACTTTGATCCAGGGCCCAGATGTAGGAGCCGTGAATGAAGCCCAAGACTGACTTGGACAGTATGACTTCTGGGGCCCAGGCAGGGAGGAACCCACTGAAGGTTGGGGTCTCTCTGAGGTTGAACGGCAGCTGTGGAGCGGTGGGGGTGCAGAGATGGAAGAGAAGGCCAAGGCCAGAGAGGGAGGTAGGGATGAATTATTTCCCAGCAGGGCAGTTCTGGGGGATGGTGTGTCCATACAGGGTGTGACTAGATTTCAGGGGTGCTAAAGAGGTCCTGGAGGGGAAGCCTCTAATGAGGGTGGGCATGGTTGCATGCAGCTGGGAATCAGGCAATGGCAGGTGATAGGGAAATGAGACGAAGGCAGTCAACAGGGCCTGCAGGAATGAATGGTGGGGTGGATTACAGGAGAGAGAGGCAGTATAGAGGATGGTGGGTTTTCCTTTGTCTTTTCTTTGTGTGTATGTGTGTATGCACATGTGTGCATGTGAGAGTGTGTGCGTGCACATGTGTGCATGCAAGAGAGTGTGTGTGCACATGTGTGCATGTGTGTGCACATATGTGCATATGTGTGTATGAACACGTGTGCATTCGAGAGTGTGTGTGCATGCACATGTGTGTATGCGAGAGCATGTGTGTATGCACATGTGTGCCTATGTGTGTATGCACATGTGTGCCTATGTGTGTATGCACATGTGTGCCTATGTGTGCATGCACATGTGTGCATGTGAGAGTGTGTGTATGCACATGTGTGCATGCAAGAGCGTGTGTGTGTGCACATGTGTGCATGTGTGTGCACATATGTGCATATGTGTGTATGAACACGCGTGCATTCGAGAGTGTGTGTGCATGCACATGTGTGTATGCGAGAGCATGTGTGTATGCACATGTGTGCCTATGTGTGTATGCACATGTGTGCATGCGAGAGCGTATCTGTATGCACATGTGTGCATGCGAGAGCATGTGTTTTATGCACATGTGTGCATGCGAGAGAGAGCGTGTGTGTAACCCAGAGATTGAAGTTGGATGTCTTCCTCATTCTTTTTTTTTTTTTTTTTTTTGGTTTTTCGAGACAGGGTTTCTCTGTGGCTTTGGAGGCTGTCCTGGAACTCGCTCTTGTAGACCAGGCTGGTCTCGAACTCACAGTGATCCACCTGCCTCTACCTCTCGAGTGCTGGAATTAAAGGCATGCGCCACCACTGCCCGGTCCTACCCTATCTTTTGAGACAGAATTTCTCATTGAACTTGAAGATTACTAATTGGGTAGACTGGCTGAACAGCAAACCCAGGAACCCTTCACGGCCTAGCTTTTGCCTGGGTGCTGGAGATGCAAACTTAGGACCTTGTGCTTATACAGGAAGCTCTTTACCAACTGAGCTATCTCTTCAGCCCCAGGTGGTAGGTTTTCTATAGGGCCTTGTGGGGACTTTATCATAGGATGATGATAGTCTTGGGGTAGGGTGTAGAGGTGATTAGGTTCTTCTGGGAGGAGAGAGAGGCTGTGTTCCATGGACACACCTGGCATACATACATTCTTGTTGCTGTACATGAGAATCTGAGGCAGAACTATGAGTTTGATAGCTTGGGTGACATAGTAAAGCCCTGTGAAGAACAAAACAAGAGCCAAGCATGATGACCCATCTCTTTAATCCCAGCACTTGGCATGTAGAGGCAGGAGCAGCAGGAGTTCGAGGTCAACCTCAGAATGTCGGAGGTCAGTCTGGGCTGTGTGAAATACTGTCTCCAGAAACCACAAAAAGAAAACACTCAAAGCAAAGAAAAACAACCAAAAAGCAACCAAAACACAAGAAAGATCAGATGATTAAAAAGTCTGGGAAATTCTGGGGAAGAGAAAACATGATTTGAGGGAACAAGAGAGAGGCAGTGTGTGTGTGTGTGTGTGTGTGTGTGTGTGTGTGTGTGTGTGTGTGTGGTGTGTTCCTTGGTCATTGAAGATAACACTTTCTTTTTTTTTAATTTGAAGCAAGAAGCCATGCGTGCCTGTGGTGTTAGCTACTCTGGAGACTGAGGCAGAAGGAGGATTGCTTGAGCAGTGCAGGGCAAGCCTGAGCAACACAGCAAGACCCTATCTCTTACAAGAGAAGATGAGGGAATAATTATTTGTGTTTCAAATATTGAGCACATAAGCTCTAGGTGGGCAGGAAGGTTTGTCTTCCTGGATGACCACTGTGTCTTCAGAGCCTAAAACAGTGCTTGGCACATAATTGGCTTTTACTGAATATTTTGTTGAGTGGATAAATAGAAAGGGTTGAAGAAAATAGTGTAACCACTCTACAAACACCCATTTCCATAACATTAATACAGAGATTGATTATTTTTGCATTTATGCTTTCTTTTTAAAGTCCTTACAAATATATGTATATGTTTTTAATGTGTATGTGTGTTTGTCTGTGTGAGTATATGCTACATGTGGGTATCCACAGAGCCAGAAGAGGGCATTAGATTGCTTGGAGCTGGAGTTCCAGGGGGGTGGTAAACCATTTGATGTAGGTGCTGGGAACTGAACTCGGGTCCCTCAGCAGAAGCAAAATGTGCTCTTAACTGCTGAGTCCTTTCTCCAGATCTTACTCGTTCCTTTGACGAAATAAAAAATGCTGCATGTTACAATTCACTCCCCGCTTCCTAATTTCCACTGCTGTCCCTTCCCAAGAGTAAACACTGGCGATGTCATTTCCCAGAATGGTCGCTATCCTTGTCTATATATGGGTTTAGCCACTAATAATATGCCCTTGCGATACATGCCTTTAAATTTCCCATAAATGGGATGATAGTATAATCTGCTTCTGTCTTTGAGATTTCTCATCCACACAGGCAGTGAAGTTATTGATCTAAGTGTAGATAAAGATGGTGAGATTCATTTGCACTATTGTGCACTAATTGTGACGTGTGTTGTGTGCAGTTAAGTAGTTCCCCTTCTGAAAGAAAGGGCGGTGGTGGTGCAGATTTTGCCCTGAAAAGCACAGCACTGTTGTGGATGTCCTTCTATCCGTGTGTTTATGCATAAATGTGAACTTTTCTCTGGGGTGGACTTGGCAGTGGAAGTATTGAATGCATGAATTTTCGAGCCTCTGTGTCCATAACTTCCAAAGTTGGATTCAGAGTTGTATGGGTTAAGCCACATCTTCTGTCGGTCACAGGGTCAGGGCTGGGTTTTCTCAAAGTGTGACTTCCCTCAGTAACATTCCCTGATGGCCTTGCCCAAGCACTTGACAGATCTCCAGAGAGGGATCACTCATTCATTCCTCCATTCATTCATTCATTCATTCATTCACTCTTCCACTCATCTGTTCAACAGCTATATACTGGATACCCAGCATGCACCAGGATAACAGCAGATGAACTCTGACTTCCTCTTACTAGATCCCACAATGCCTCAGTCCCGGAAGTTCACATACAGCCTTGTCGTTAAGTTACCAATGTACTGAATCAGACTGTAAGTAGAGTCCTTCCTCTAGAAATGTTTGGAGCATAAGGAGGTCAGATTGTCCGTCCATAAAATTCTGGGCGTGATTCTCAATAATAGAACTCTACTGAAGATAGTGAGGACATTTGTTCAAGTTTGAGGCCCACCTCCCCTGAGAGGATAGTGTGCTAAGGGCATCCAGTGGCTTTTCTCATCTGGTTCTGGAGCAAACAGGGAAGGAATATTCCAGAAGAACTTCAGAATAGCAAACCTCTCCCACCTCTGTGTGGGTGATCCTTCACTGTGGAACGCCATTGTTGATCAAAAGTCAGCACAGCCTCTCTCTTCACTTTCCAGTGCTTTGGACAATGGGACACACTTCTTACCAGTTTTAATGATATG